TTTTACTCAGCAGATTCGGACAGATTGCAACAACTAGTAAACGGGTTGTAAGCAAGAAGGCCTGTTACGCACAAGGATTGTCGTTCGGTAAAATTGTTGGCAAGTCACCTTGTGTTATATGCGGAGAAAATCATAGGATTGATAAATGTTCCCAGTTCTCCACATTAGCAGTCAACGATAAGTGAGCGAAAGCGAGAGAAAAAGGTTTGTGTTTTTGTCGTCTTAGAAGGAGACACAGATCTGTGGATTGTAAAGATCGCGTTGTGTGTACTATAGAAGATTGCCGGGATTGACATCACCCATTGTTGCACAAACCCCTTCAAGTTCAGGGTGGCTTGAGTGAGCCGTTAAAAGAAAGTCATTGTTGGTACACAGAGTCACTAAAAGAGGATGTGTTTCTTGGCTTAATCCCTGTACGCCTTAGAGCTGGGGATAAGGAAGTTTGTGGACATGCGTTTCTAGACAATGGCTCCGATACAACTTTAATCAAGTCAAGTACCGCACAACGTTTAGGTTTGTCGTCAGAGAGTACGTCGATTACCATCAAAACAGTGAAAGGAAATAAGTTAACAAGATCGACAACCGAAGCCTTTAGAACCTACTCATTTGGCGGAGACGGGTGTATATGTGTAGAATTATGGTCTACTATGATATTGGCACTGCTCTAATAATAGAACTAACCCTAAAATTGTAAATTTATCATGATGTAACTGCGTAATCTATAAGATCTTACGTGGAAGTTACATCATCGTCTACATCAACTGATTGCATTGTAACAATTACCAACACGTGATAGAGAACAAGCTTAGGCTAGAGACAGAATATATTTAACATGAATAAAAGATACAAGATAACATTCAGCTGGGACCACGCCTGCAAGGCCGAGCCATGCCACCTGATCAACTCGTATTAATTAAAATCCTTATTCCCCGCCCTTTTTATTCATAGATATTTCTCCGCGTTAAATATTGAATATCTATTTTCCGAGTAGTTTCGTGTTCATCTTTGAGGATTGTGTGGTTATGGTCCAATGTCACTACATATGTATTGAACAGGGTGTTGTAGTAGATGATTTGCCGGTGCATAGGCCAAGAATACCTGTGAAGGACAGTGCCAACAAATAGTCACATCTTATGGACCTACCTTGGTTGGAATTGGTGGGTGGTGAAGTTATGTTGCTTATTGGTTGTGATGTGCCTGAAGCGCATTGGACCCTGAACCAAAGGTTAGGTGAAAGAAAGAGTCCTTATATTGTTAGAAAACTGCTAGGATGGGTTCTTTTTGGACCAGCAGGTCACAACAAAAATGGGGAAAGGATCGTAAATTATATTTCTCAAATTTATGCACCTGTGGAGCATAGCTATTAGTTAGCTGACGACTATTCCTCTGATAAATCATTGTCTCTGAATGATTCAAACGTAAGTAGCATAGTAGAGCGCGATGCTTATTTTGATGGAAGTTACAAAGTTGCTCCTTTACCTAGGGGAGTTACTGAGGAAAACGTTGCTGTAATCAACAATGGGTCTGGTATGTGTAAAGCTGGCTTCGCAGAAGACGACGCTTCTAGTGCCGTATCCTCTATTGTTGGAAGAACTAGACATCAAGGAGTGATGATGAAAATGGATCAAAGGGACAGTTATGTGGGAGACGATGCTCGATCGAAACATGGTATCCTGACACTGAAGCACCAAATTGAACATGGCATTGTGACTAAGTGGGGTGATATGGAGAAGACATTATACCATGCATTCTACGACGAGTTGCGAGTGGCAACAGAGGAACATCTAGTGTTGTTGACAGAAGTCTCACTGAACCCGAAAGCAAACCATGAGATGACACGGATCATGTTTGCGACTTTTAATGCACCAGCTATGTATGTTGCTATTCAAGAGGTGTTGTCACTGTATGCATCTGGTCGTACAACTGGTATAGTGTTGGACTCAGGTGAGGGTGTGACTCACACAGTTCCAATTTATGAAGGTTATGCATTGCCTTATGTTATTTCGCGTCTGGACCTTGCTGGTAGAGATCTCACCGACTTTACGATGAAGATCCTGACTGAGACAGATTGCAGTTCCTCTGTTTATTTGTGGAACATACTCAGGCGCAAACTTCTGGACAACGTTTTGCTTTATGGTTAGTTACTAATTTTAGTGAGAAGGAGAACCTATTGAGAAACTGTGAAGGCTTTGATTCCTGGAGGGGGCCGAATGGCAGCAGACTGTAGGTTAGGTTCATGGATGTACAGGCGTACTGTTGTAAGTCCTGTGTTTCCCATTGATATAGAGCAGTTAGTAGGGAGAGCCATGACAGGAATGTATTCTAAGGTGTTTTTGCGTAGTTGAAGGGATTTTGGGGGCCGGGGTAACGGAAAGAAAACGATGAAAATCCCTCCACAGCCTTTTTTTGTTGGACAGTATTTTCACTTATTTGTTTCTTCTCCCTGTTATATATTTCAACCTTTGTTCATATCTCCTTTCAGCTTTTATTATGTGATTTCGATTAAAAAATTATCATTTTGTTACCTAATTTTTTATTGCATGTTGCCGGACTATTGACAGTGAGGTCGTGTTTGACTAAGCTCAGGGTCACGGCAGGATTCAGTGTGACTGTTAAACTTTTGACTGTCTGCTTGGGAGGATTTTTGGAATCCCTGCAGATAGATACTTGATCCCGTTTGTTGGGAATATATTTGTTGATTCTCAGCGCACTACTTTGCGTTAGAGAAACTTCTGACTGTATAGCACAGGCTGTACCGTTTGAGAACTGTTACGATCGAACTACCAGTATTCGGTTTGAACGCAAGACTGACGAACCAAAAAGTATTCGAATAGGTCAGACTACGATCTTCCGTATAAACTGAGCACAGAATTTGTGTTTTGATATAATTTAATACGAGTGTCTCAAAAACGCTTGGCGTGCTATACGGAAGATCGTAGTCTGACCTATTCGAATACTTTCTGGTTCGTCAGTCTTGCGTTCAAACCGAATACTGGTAGTTCGGTCGTTACACAGTTAAGGTCATCTAAAGGTCGCTAACGTATTTTACTGTTGCTCATATACCGAGGTGGGAAGTGTTTCGCATTTTGTTAGATGTTTGCCATCTTAGTGTCACCAGCATAAATAGTCTCAGATGACTTATGGAGACACCATAAATTGCGTTCACGGTGCCAGTGAAGAGTAGCATCTCTAATTTCAACAATGTTTATTGACGTACCAACCATATCTTCACTTCATCATTTATTCGCATTTATGTTACCAGTAACTTGTGCAGCTCAGACCATGACAACAAGTCAACGACATATTTTTATTAACCTTAACGCCACATGTAGTGGGTAAACTGGGAGAAAAATTTTAAATGTCCAATCTTGTGTGACGATTAGTTGTCATGTTTCATAACTAATACATCAGTGATCAGCCTGTGGTCCGTGTCAATCTTAAGGGTGGTTTTTTAGTGAGTGCCAAAGTGATTTGCATCCAAATATATCGCAAATAGTTTTCTACTGAAAGTCGTTATAATGCTCCTACCGTTGCAGTAAATCTTTTTTTTATTTGAGTAAACATATCATGCAACCTTTTGTGGGAAGTAAATGTTGATAAGAATTACTATCCCACATTTCCATGGTTTTGTAACTGGCTATATGAGTTATTGAAGATGATCGTAGCTCGACCCGCTAGTAATTAGCAAACGATCGATTCATTGGTTCACATAATTCTTCCTCCGTTTGTGATTTCGCGTTTATTAGTGGTCCCTTAGTAACACTATACTGTTCAACAGAGTAGTTCATTTTCATGTTGTTATATATGGCTTTCTTTAAAGATGCGTAATCTGTCATCAAAAACACATGAACTTACTGTCCCTGTTGATACGATAAAACTAATGGATGGTCCATCTGTAACAATCTTTATATAACCTTAATGAGATAAGTCTTCTGGTCAGACATTGATCTGGAAAGCTTATTAGGAAAACATGATTTTCTTTCTTGAACTCAAAATATCATCCACTACTAGCTTAATAAAACTTTCTTTTTATTTCTGTTTACGTACTCTGGGCCCTGACTTTAAGAAATAAACCGTGAACTGCTACAGTTCAAAGAGGCTCCTCATGAACATCTAGTGATCGACACAAATTATTCTCCTAATAACACTTAATTCCTAGAAGATCCTATCATTGCACTTTCCATCACTAAAAACGACCAATTTATCTAAGTTTAGTATATTCTAGGTGTTTCTTAGCATGAAAATTTTTCGGCCAACAAAGCGCATTCATTAGCGGGGTTTCCTACAGAACAGGTGATAACCTGGCTATAGGATTATTGAAAATTGTCTCACAGTTTACCTAGAATCGCATATGGGAAAAATCATGTTTTACATCCCCTTACCTCAGGAAGAGTACTACTTTCTAGGAGCGTATTCAAAGGAGTGGAAATAAAAAGAAAACTCAAATTAGAAAACTAATCCTACTCAACTCGCCTAGAGGCTCTTATCTTAAAGCCAATGTATCATGGTAGGATAAGGTGGTATATCATCATCAGGAGTAATGTCGCCCATAGATTTCCGCCCTTAGAAAAACCACTGGTACGTTTAAGCAATAAGTAAAACTTGACAATGGATCCGATCCATGCAGAAAACAAGAGAACTAGCACAAAAACCTGGGCAAAGATTTCCACAGTTTGAATCAGTAAGTTGTGAAACTCTACTAGTAGCTATGGTCATGAACCAATTTTCCGAATCTTTTAGGGGGAAACTGAACGTTTGCTTTACTCATGTAGGTACTAAGAGGAATTGTTATAAGTGCAAGTGCTCGATAACTTATTCTCATCTAAATTGTTCTGCTCTTCAGTCTCTATGAGAAATATAAAAACAAGCACACTTTTCCATAACATCTCCGTAGAGACTCACGTTTTAAGGAACAAACAATTTTCCAATTATGTCTGACAGATTCGATCCTGTAGGCTTCATCCCACTTCATACTCCTTCATTTGAAACCATTTTTTGAAGGTCACTCGCTCCGCTCGCGTCTGTGTTTTCGCGCTTTACTTGATTGGGATGACTGAGGTTCAGTCGAGTGCTGGTGCAGAACAAAAGTATGGGGGTGCTGAGGGGGCAGATGCCATGTATGTAAAGCTTGTATCATCAGACGACCATGAATTCTACGTTCGTCGAGAGCATGCTCTTACGAGCGGCACCATAAAAGCAATGCTTTCGGGTCCAGGTAGGTTAATTTGTTTTTATTCAATCACTATATTTTTCAAGTTAAAAATTGTTGCCACCATAAAATCCTAGTTAATTTTCATAAACATTATTCATCCAGTTATAAGCTATGGTTGGTCAGGTTACATAACTTAATCAATGATGGACGTCCATACATAATTGTAAACAATATTGAAATGTGTTGCGTCATAGTGATGTTGAGTGTTATCGCCTCTTTCATAATTTATAGGGTCTTATGCCAATACAATTTCTGACACTTATCAAACATTTTCCAAGAAGTTTTGGGTTGCCTTAACAGCTGAAAACTGCATTCATATCAGTCTTCTGTTATAAGAATAGTAGGCAGGTGAACATGTGCTAATTCTTTCAGCTTGTCTTCCAGTGAGAATTCAGCTTTTTGGAAATGTTCACTGATGAAGCTGGTGTCACTTGTTCGGGTAAGACGTATTAGTCATTGACCACTCAAGTACAGAAGCACAACACATTTTATTATATCGCAGTTTCGCACCTTCTTGCTATGACCTCGAAGATTTTTAGTCTGGATGAAGCACCAAAATAAGACATCGTCTTTAAAGATGTGAAGTGCCAATATGGGGTTACCTCGTGTTCTGTGATACGATAGGAAGAAAAGGTTCAGGCGTTTTAAGCGCTCATCGTGAGTTTGGAAAGACTCCACTAACACTGTTTCTTTATTTAATGTATGAAAACAATCATTATGGACCAATACGGCTATCATATGCCAACTATCTTTCGTAAGTAGCGCAGCTGTTAACTATGATTTTTTGCACATATTCCGGATTTTTCGGTATTCGCATTTAAGAGATTCGTGGCCTGTTAACAAAAACTCATCCCAGAAGCGTGTCCTCAGCAGCTTTCAGGTTTCCTTATCGATCCATGGAGGACAGTGTGTTGACTTATGTGCTGACCATAGGATGAATGGTAATGTCACGGACTCGAATGTGGCTTTAAAATTATTCCATTCGTCTTCGCTTTACCCATTTACATTAATCGACCAATCTTTTGAGATAACATAATCTCTGATTGTCTCGATTTTAGCCCTCTAGATGTTGGGACGGGGTGAAGCAGATTTATTTATTTATTTCGACACATAAACATTGGTACAAGGAGCCACCAAGCAGATATGCGCCACATAAAGCATTCGATTTGTGTGAGTGCTGGAATACGACCCGGGCGCCCAAACTAGAGGAGATACATATTGTATGTTATCTGTCTGAGACCTAAAGTACAGTACAACATGATCACTGTTTGCTATATGGAAAAGTACTGAATTTTGGTGACATCATCACAGTGGTGCGCTAAGATGAAGTCCAGTAATGATGGTTTACCTTCCAAGTCAATACCTGTCAGTTCTGCAATGCGTTTAACAGGTGCATACCGAAAAATGGTTGACAACAGGCAGTTGTCAAAACATCTACCTGAAGTTGTAAACTCTGTTCAACTGACGTATGGTGCTTTGAAATCTCCAACAATATTCCTCCTGTCGTTATTAACCCATGTCTAGACTTAATTGTTTAACAAGCTACCTCACATGTTCCACTGTTGTGCACCTCTGATGTACTCAATTGTACACGAAAGTGATTTCTAACATATAATATCTTGCCTTTTCCCCTATCTCTACTTATACTTTCAGTACCTCTACCACTATGGGATTTGAATCGATAACTGAATCTCTGTGCTAACGTGGTATAGCAACTCGAACTGATGTACGTACGTACGAAGTTCCACGTTGTTACGCTACTGACTGACTTTTCCCTTGGGATTTATGACTCCGACTTCTAATATAGATATATCCTGCAATGATTAAAGAACAGTTTATATCAACAAGTGGATGACGACTTAGAGATATGACCTAAATATTTGTTCAGTAAAACAATTTTGCCAGAGGTTGATGTAAATTGCCCCCCAATGCCCTGGTACGACTGAGAGTGGGGATAGTCCACTCTATTCCTCGAAATGCTCTCACATGGCCGCGGGTGTACAGCCCCTTCCAAGGAAGTCCTACTCATTGCCTTCTCGCACCATGGGTATTGTTTACGGAATTGAGAGGACGAAAAGAGAATTTCCGGTGCTTTAACCGGGTTTATGGACACCAAGAGTTCACCTAGAGGAGTTGGAAAACCCTGATTCTAAACCAATAGTGCACATAGGCTCCAGTATCGTGAAGGGACAAATCGCGTATAAACCAAATGTTGGTCACCGGCTACCATGGGACTGCGCGTCCTTACAATGCTCCACTGCCTTGTGAATTAAATCTTTAGGTCGACAGTTCCGGGTGTGGCCCTCTATGAAAACTACCTGCTTCTGTTTGGGTACCCGGGCAGTATCACAGCTCTCACACAAATCGAATGATCTAATATGGCACATATCTATTTGTTACCTCTTTGTACCAATGTTTATGTGTTTAAATAAATAAATAAACAAAATGTTATGTATAAAAGCTCACCAACTTTCACATCAGTATTTATTGTATTATATTGAATAATATTCTATCTTTTATTACTTTTTTTTTTAATACAGGTCAATTTCAAGAGAATGAAACAAATGTTGTACATTTTCGTGAAATACCATCACATGTATTACAAAAAGTATGCAGTTATTTCGCTTATAAAGTACGTTATACAAATAGTTCAAGTGAAATACCAGAATTTCCTATTGCACCTGAAATTTCATTAGAATTATTAATGGCTGCTAATTTTTTAGATTGTTAATTCATTAGTTATTATTATTATATTATTGTTACTAATTTTCTTTTATGGGTTTCGTTTTTTCTTTTCTTGTTTTATCCTAACGATTATCTTGTGGAGTACTCATTATTGTTATTGGCTTATTATTATTATTACTATTCTTAATAAGCAACAAGAAAAAACAGACAGCGAAAAATACCTTCATTATTCGTATTACTTCAGTTCTTTAAGTGAATGTTTTTTTTTCACAGACACAAAAAAACATACGGTGATAATTAAAAAGAAATAGTAACCATTACTATCCCTACTACTACTATTCCTACTACTACTTCTGCCTCCTTTGTGCTTCCTCTGTTTGATTCTTAAACATATTAAAGGCAAAAAATATATATTAGTACTTTCAACTTTATAATGTTGTTTCACAATTATACAATTTCATTGTGGGGTTAGAATGGAACAAGTTCGTGTAGTGGGATTTAAAACGTCTTTTCTGGCTGAATTAATAGAAAAACTAGTAGACTGTCTAAATTAAGTTTCATCCACTAAGTTTTGCAGTCGAAATCCTCTCCGACTACTGCTGTTTGGATAGTCGCTTAGTATCACCAGCTCTTATATTTTAAGTGTGAATCAATGTTGAGTACACGGACCAATAAAATAACCGAGTATTTTAATCATAGTATCCCATTATAAGACTGTGTGGTATGATTATACTGGCCATGATGACCTTATTTAACCTTAACAAATACCATGCCAGTAAACTATCTAAATAAGAGTAAGCGGTATCACAAACAACTCCATCCTAATTAACTGAAAGCATTGTAACATACAGATAACAATTAGTTCAGTGGGGCGGTCCTTTTGAATGTCATTTTCAAAGGTGTATGTGTGCAGTGAATTGTTAATTTATAAAACCTTATTTTTTTTATGTAAGGTTATAATGATGATTTATTTCTATAGTATTTAGTATTCGTCACACATTGACTAGTTAAATTACCATTGGAAACTAGGGCTCGCTTGGAAGGTACTTTGTTCCAGTAAACTGATCTGTAGAAATGCTTACCTCGTTAGAACTCGAATCCGGGACCTATAGGTCTTGTGGCAAACACTGAGTTACAGACTGATAGTACCAATTTTCATCCGTCGTCAATTCGTTATGTAACATTTACATCATTCAATGGTTGCTATACTCTCAACATGCCTGAACTTTGTCAATCATAATTTGTCACTAGAACTTAAGGAACTCATCTCAAAATAAGTCACTAGTGATTTCATGATTACATTTTTTATTTATGGGATTAGCGGAGATTTGTTGGTGACATTCATTCTAGATTGATTTGGAAGTCTTGGCACCAACAAAAATCATAATTCAGGAATCGCATACCATGATAAATAGCTATCCAGTGCTCACTGGTTTTCAGTGATACTACTTGTATGATTGTTAGGATAGTAATACTAGTTAGTATTGATCAAATAATTTTAAATTTATATCAGTAGAGCAATCAAAAATATGTAGGGAATATACATTTGATTGAAAAAATCAGCTGACAAGTTGGAATGATGAAGGATGATGAAAATTTGGAGTTGGCAAAAGTTTTAGTCACATATAACTGAATACTTAAAGCTTGTACAATCCCAAATCAATCTAGGCGTAATTCTTTTGAAGTGTTTAAAGCAATGAAATTATCTAATGTTGGATTTACTCTATGTGGCTAGATAGAGGATGTATATGATATATGTTGCCTTTTGCCAAACAATGTTTCGAAACTATTTTGAATACGGTAAAGAAGAAGCTTCAACGAATAAATAAATAATTTGCTTCACAGAAGCAGTTAAACAATGACATGTACATTAAATTAGTCAGTTACCTGTAACTTATTCCTCATGTGAAAGTTTATAAAAGTCTTTTCAGTAAATCATGGAAAGATTTGCCGCAAGAAACATCTTTCAGATTGACATCTACCGATAATATCTCTTAAATACACTATTCAATAGTTTGTGGAGAGAATATTTACAAGGTCGTCTTCAAATCGATTTAAACATTTAAGCTATTCACCTTTTGAAATGAGTAGTATAGTGATTCAACCACATCTAAATCGTAAGAAACAATTTGATTCGATTATTAAAAGAGCGAAATTGCGCGACCATCTTCGATTGTACTGAGGTAGATACCTGTCTGTACCTGGCACGAATTGCCTCCACTGGTCACGTTTGAGGTTAGACGTTAACACCGTTTAATATCGACTCATTGGTTTAGAGGTCGAGCGTTTGCGCGTGAGACCGAAGACCCTGGGTTTGAATCTCGCTAGCGGGCTCGTGAATGTACACTGCTGAGAAGTCACAGAATGGGACGAAACGGCCGTTCAGTGCTTCCAGGTTTTTAATAGTGGTCTAACATCAATCAGTTCATGATCTCAATAAAAAACCTAATAATCTCCACAACCCCATACTGATATTAAAAGAACCCTTGAGTATCAGTGACAAGGTTGAACTTGATAGGTTTAAATAAATTTAACATTGAGTAGAATGTTACGAATCTATTTTTGTGATATCCCAATAAGTAATGAATTATGACTGATTATTTATTTACTCTGGGAAAAAGTGACTTATATTTGACAATAAGACGTCAGAAATCGGGACATCATAGAAATAAGAAATACATTAAAATGAGAAGAAACTAGTTGTAGTTATTTGCTTGCTCACTTGTAACTATTTACGTTGACTTTTCTTATCATTACACTTAACAAGGTAGAATTTGTATTATTCTGGTCAAATTATTATACCTTTTCTTCCAAACAGATGAATAAAACTACGTTATTGAATCCGTATAAAGAGACAATAACTGAAAGCATCGATCGATAATATGATTTTCCTCGGGGGCTGTCTGTCTTGAATTACTGTTTGCTCTATTCCTCTACCCAAATATTGCTTGCTCCTGTTACTCCTTATGGAGCATAGGCCACCGACCGTCATTCTTCAACCCACTCTGTCCTGGGCCTTCCTTTCTAGTTCTATCCAATTGTTGTTCATTCTTCTTATGTTCGTATCCATTTCTCGGCATAATGTGTTCTTTGGTCTTCCTCTTCTCTTTTGGCCTTGAGGATTCCAGATGAGGGCTTGCCTTGTGATGCGGTTGGGTACTTTCCTCAATATGTGTCCCATTTAATTCCAGCGCTTCTTCCTGATTTCTTCCTTTGCTGGAATGTGGATTGTTCTCTCCCATAGTAGGTTGTTGCTGATAGTGTCTGGCCAAAGAATGAGAAGTATTTTACGTAGACAGCTGTTCATAAACACTTGTATATTCTGTATGATGGCTTTCATAGTTCTCCAAGTTCCTGCCTTATACAGTAGAACTGCTTTGACATTTGTATTTAAAATTCTGACCTTGGTGTTGTTTGACAGTTGTTCTGAGTTTCAGATGTCGTTCACTTGTAGATATGATGTTCTTGCTTTCTTAATCCGCGCCTTCACATTTGTATCAGATCCACCGTGTTCATCAATGATGCTGACCAGATGTCAGTTTTTACATCTTCAGATTTCTCTTCTACTACCTTGAAGGTTAGTGTCAACTTGAAAACATAAATTCTGTCATTTATTGAGCAAAGCATATTGCTTTTCAGCTGGCTTTACTCCAACGCTATACACTAATATGCAGATGAAGTTATGTATGCGAACATTTCATCAATGGAAGTTGGTTGATCTCTTCAGATGACTTCACTTCAAAATAAACTTACGAAACGTGTTACACTACTTAATAGTATTAAGTAGTATGTGTCATTAGCGTTTCATATTGACTTTCGGTCAAAGTCAACAATGTTTTCGGGGTTCCATTCAGATACTAATAAATAGAATGAAAGTCTAGTAACTATGGTGGAGTCAGAAAAGTCAGTTCTTCTGTTTGATCTAGTCATTATCATAACCTCATTGGTTGACCGATAAGGTATTCCAAAGGACAATAAGACCATTGAGAAGGAAGCTTTATAGTCAAAATCCTAACAATATTTGCAACTTGCTCAAATGTATCTACTTGCAGTTTGAAAGGGACATATTGTCAATAGCCTGGATTAGATAAATATTTAAGTTATTCACAAACTATCTGCTCGCTTTTGCGAAGCATAAGGCGATTTTGTCTTCTCATTTATGCGGCTATTTGAATGGTCCTCCTCGTATTCCACACTGTTCGGACATTCCATGTGCCTAATATTAATTGTTGTTCTGGTTATCAGAAGAGGCGTTTTCCATATAAATTACTAAGAATCTCAGCTTTCGTCATGAGGTCGTCTTAGCACTTCCAAGTGGAGACCGTTCTACTCCCAGGACATAACATAATTTATTTTTCTTGGTTAGCATATTTTCGTGACGGTTTTCTTTACAGAGTGGGATAGCTAACGTCATGTTCAATTCTTCTCCATTAGTAGGGCTTTGAACTGACAGTTATTCTGGAGGGGCTTTGGCCTATAACATTTGATCAATAGAGGTCATGTGGTATGTTGTGTCCTGAAACGACTGGCCAATACCAAGTGCCAAGTCACCTATAAGAATCCTAATTCTAATTTTTGTTAACTCCGTGTCTACTATTTCCTCCATAGTTTAGTGTACCCCACCAGCACTACTAACCGTGTAATATGACGTAGCTAAGTTCCTACTGAAACATTATTACCAAGGTTCTCTCAATACCGTGCCTTGAGTTCAAATAATCAACAGACAACTTCCATTATTATATTTTAAACAGACATGATTTATATACAGATATACTGGACTGTATCACACCATAAACAAGCCATAAGTGGTTTCGAAAGGGGCAGGGTGCAATTAATAGATAAAAAATAAATAAAGAACTAGAACAACACAATGGGAATCATTAATATTCTAAAATAAAGAACTGTATAACAGTTAGACATTAACACCGTTAGATGCCGGCTCAGTGGTCTGATGGTTAAGCGCTTGCGTGTGAGACTGGTAAGTCCTGGGTTCGGACCTCGCGGGGGGCGGGATCATGGATGCGCAATGCTGAGGAGTCCCATACTATGACGAAATAGCCGTCCAGTGCTTCTAGGTTTTCCATGGTGGTTTAGCTTCAATTGACTCATGATTTTAACTATTGAAACTGTATAATAGTAATTCATCAGTTAAACAAAAGCTTATGATAAATGGAAAACACAAATATAACAATCTAGATACTTAGCAACTATACAGCAAAAAATATAAATTATTATATCCCGATGAGAATAAGGAATGGTAACTGTTGGAATCTATTTGTATGACATTCATGTCATCTATAAGATCTTACGAGGAAGTCACATCATTGTCTTTACTGAATCTTCGTATTGTGACAACCAACAATATGATGTTTAACACATCTGAAGAACACATTCGGGCTGAGGATAGGATAATATATTTCATCT